CTCTCCTCTCTATCTCTCTCTCTCTCTCTCTCTCTCTCGATCTATGTGCATATACACGTTGGTGATCATGTCAACTCTATGCAGCAAAACCCTCAGCTAGCCCGGAGGTTCATGTTTCTAGACTTTAGACAACGTCCAAGTTGCCAAGTTCCGCAGTGTAGATCGCTGGTTCAACAACCCCCTTGCTTCAGGATCCTGAGAATCGGATCCAGGATATATAGGGGCCTAAATAATTACCTATGGGGTTCCTTATTATAATCATAGCATAGTGGGCCCCAAAAACCCTATTCTAATTATTACGGCCCCTGCATTAGACTCCATACCCTCACACCCTGAGCCCTCAGGCCCCCGAGCCCTAAGTCATCCAAATATTGAGGAATGTTTCGGTTCATGAGGGGTACGTTTACATGCTACTCCCAGAAATCATTGCAAAGCCCTTGTGCCGCTGACTGTCTGGTGCTTAGTAGGGAATGGGGGAATGTGTTATAGGGACTACTATAAGGGACCTTAAGGCTAAGCACCAGACAGCTGAGGTAAGTCTGTGGTAGACAAGGCCAGAGTGCGGCAGACCCGGCTGCAGGCGCGAGGGGTCTGGGTTTCATTATGGTTTCGGGTCAGGGTTTATGGTTTAGGGTTTAGGATTCGAAGAATCTACCCCATTATGCAACCGGATCTGTTGGGCTAAGCCTTAATCTCTAATCCCTGCACCACAAACCCAATCTCTATGCCCTAAACGGCCCTAAACCTTACTCCCCATGACCCAAACCCCAAACCCTAAAGCCTACCACTTTCACTCCGTCAGAGCCTCACCGTGCCAGCGGTCTGCGGGTCTAGGGCTTTTTAGGGTTTTTTGGTTTAGGGTTTAGGGTATTAGGGTGTTTGGTTCAGGGTTCTTGCCCTAAACCCTAAACCCTAAACCCTAAACCCCTAAACCCCTAAACCCTAAACCCTCAACCCTAAACCCTAAACCCTGGTTTAGGGTAACATTGCCTGAAACTTTGCTTCAGATTAAAAGCCCGAAGCCTTCAACCTCAGGAGGTGTTCTGGGAGGCAACTCTGGGGATCAGAAAAGAGCGGATCGCTACCGGGTTTAGGGTTTAGGTTTACGGATCGATCTTTTTTTCAGTCGAGGGAACTAGATTCCTTGTTCAAGGAGTCTTGGGCGCTGCGGGAAAGAGCACTTTGCGAGGTTGAGGGCATTGTTGCAGCAGGTTCAATGCGAATGCTGTCGTCTCATGTTACGGGTTTAGGGTTCTTTAAGGTTTAGGATGGTTTAGGGTTCTTCGGGGTCTAGGGTGTAAGGTTCTTTGGAGTTTAGGGTCTAGGGGGCAGGATGGTTCATGACGGAGGAGGAACGCACCTGCATAATCCAATACCCTTTCTGCTGTGGTCATGGCATTACATATGACGATGCCTGGATACCCGCGTCATGTATTTTTTATGTGGCATTCCATACCCTGCTCAGGATCATGGACTTAATAAGTAGAGTTATGGGTACCTTACTTAGGTAGGGTTACAAGCAGTTATAACTATAGTTACCTTACTTGAGCCGCCCTTACTTGTAACCCTACTTACGAAGCGCCCTGATCCTTGAAGTACCCTAAGCCCTACACGGCCCAGACCCTAACCCTAAACCCCTAAACCCCTAAACCGTAAACCCTAAACCCCAAACCCTAAACCGAGACCCTAAACCCTGAACCCTCTGCGACCGCGGCACCGGGGGAGGTTGGCGCCTTCCCCGGCGTCAG